CTAATAAATAAATAAATAAAATCTTTTTTTTTTAAAGATTTTATTTATTTATTTGAGACAGAGAGAATGAGAGAGAGAGAGCACATGAGAGGGGGGAGGGTCAGAGGCAGAAGCAGGCTCCCTGCCGAGCAGGGAGCCCGGTGCGGGACTCGATCCAGGGACTCCAGGATCATGACCTGAGCCGAAGGCAGTCGCTTAACCAACTGAGCCACTCAGGCACCCAATAAATAAAATCTTAAAAAAATAATTTTATAAAGAGAGATGTTTTAGCAAATTGGCTAAAGAATTAGTTAAATTTTCACCTAGAATAAAGAGATAAGGGAAGCAAAACCTGATGACATTTAGATCATGAAAATGAGAGTAGTTAATTTAGTTTCTATGAAAATAAGGAGAAGCCAAAAGGCCTTTGAGGCTGACTGAGAGGAAGAAAGATTGCCCTAAACATGGTATAAATATTTCCTACCAAAGAAGCATGAAGCCAAAGTGCCATGTCTTTGACAGATGCAGTTGGGCTAGGCTGGGGAGAGGGAAGCTGGAAGAGATGAGTCTGGGACCTCTAATGAGGCTCATCCCTGAGGGCTGATCTAACCGCAGGTCAGTGCCTGGCCTGCCCTTGTGGCTTGGTCTGAGTCCAGGCACAGACACCTTCCACTCTGTTCCTTTCCACTACAGAGGATGAGGCCAAGTTAGTCTGCATCCTAGGGACACAGATCTCAGTCTGGAGGCAGTTGTACCAAATTGCCTTGGCCTAATGGATATTCCAGAAAACCTGAACATGTTTCAAGGTGCCACAGGGCCTTGCAGACAATGAGAAGATCTCACTTGCCTTTTAGGTTGATCTGGATTATATTTTTCGTGACTCCTCCTCCTGTTTAGGAGCATTCATAGAGCAGGGTTGAGCCAAAATGATAACTGACAATGTTACATATATGATTTTCCAAGTTGGATAAAAAAGTTCCTTTATGGAAAGGAAATATGGCCTGTGTAATTTCCTCTCTTCTTTTTTTGAGGCCTTCTGGTTTTATGCTCTATGCCTGCAGTAGATTTTCAGTATTCCAGGGACATCTCAAAGATAAAGTGTAGATGGAAGGCATTTTGCTGGTAGCATAAATCTCTGTGAGATCTGGGGAAAATGAGCTTTTGCTGTTAAATTTTTTACCAGTACTTTTAAAAACAATATTTACGTATTCCATTTATATTGTAAAAATGATCACTTTATTGATTCAGTCATTGATTAATTCATTTGATATCAATATCTATTGAGTCTCTATTTTGGATGAGGCACTATGCTATAAACAATTGGGGTTCCAAAGATGAGTAAGACATGAGCAACTTAGCAGCAATGGAGACACACGAATATACAACTGAAGCAGTAAGAATGTAGCAAGTGGTAGAAGTAAAGAAAAACTGGCCATTGAGTTCGGAACAGGAATAAATTATTACCAGGGTGAGGATTAGGAATGGTTGGTAAGAGAAGTGACCTTAAGATGCAGTGATTACCTCAAACCCATTTGGATGGCTGCTATTAAACAAAACAAAACAAAACAAAACAAAACAGAAAAAAACATATGTTGGGAAGGGTGCAGAGAAATTGGAACCCTTGTGCATTGTTGGTGGGAATGTAAAATAGTGCAGTTACTGTGGAAAACAATATGACAGTTCTTCACAAAATTAAAAATAGAACTACTATATGATCCAGCAATCCCACTTCTGGGTATATATCCAGATGAATTGAAAGCAGACTTCCACAGAGATATTTGAACATCCATGTTAATAGCAGCATTATTCAAAATATGGAAGCAGCCCAAATGTCCATTGTCTATTGGTGGATGAATGGATAAACAAAATATGGTAAATATGTACAATGTAATATTATTCAGCCTTAAAAAGAAAGGCAGTTCTGACCATACTACAACATGGCTGAACCTTGAGGGCATTATGCTTAAGTGAAATAAACCATTTACAAAAAGGCAATTAGTATATTATTCCACTTATATGAATTATCTAGAGTAGTCAAGTGCATAGAGATTGAAAGTAGATGGTGGTTGCCAGGGCCCGGGGGGAGGAGGAAATGGGGAGTTGTTGAATGGGTGTGAAGTTTCAGTTTTGTGAGATGGAAAAGCTCTGGAGATTGGTTAACACTGATGTGAATAACTTAACATTATTGAACTCTACACTAAAAAATTAAGATGATAAATTTTATGTTATATTTATCCTACCACAGTTTTAAAATTTGCAGTATTTTATTATGCAGCGATGGGTGGAAGATGCTTGATACTTTGGAACTTTTGTCCATGCATATATCATTCACTCCTTCCTTCCTTCCTTCATTCAACAAATGTGTATGGAATGTCTGCTACGGGCTGGGCCCTGAGCTGGGTATTGAGGCTGCAGTACTTAAGATTGATAAGGCCTCGAAACTGTCAGTGTCCAGCTTGCTAACCACACTGCCCCGCAAAGGCCCTAAGCTCCTATAGTTAAATATTCACAGCTGCTTCCTACTGACTTGAATCATCATAAGATGTTAGTAAACGAACAGTACAAGATTGAGGTTGATTGGGGAGAGGGGAGTTCAACAGCATTGTGATGAAATGGAAGGGGATAGGCAGAAGAATATGAACTGGAACTGAAAACTGCAAGCCCGTGCTCTCTAAAGATATTAAAAAATAAAGAACTTCCATTTGAGGCTGTCAAAGTAAGAGCTGTGTCATTTAGAATGGAAAAAATCGGCCAAGTCAGACGTGCTTAATGCAAGGAGCTGGTATTTTGTGAGTGTTATGGCAAGTATTGTTTGAGAATCACTGCCACAAAACTGTGGACAATACCAATGAGTGATCAGAATAGGAAAGAGTCATAAAATTTGAGCTAAAAGGAAAGACAGGGCTTGTGAAAGGGAGGGCCAGTGAAAAAGTCAGTGTGGTCTCGTTATTGGGGTGGGGAGTAGAAGCAGGAAGCATGAGTTTCTTTAATCAGAGACCCTGGAGACTCTATCTTAAATTCATTTTATCTCATCCTAGGTTGGTTTTTTAAAATTTATTTTTTATTCTTTTTTTAAGATTTTATTTATTTATTTGAGAGAGAGAGTACAAACAGGGAGAGGGGCATAGAGACAAGCAGACTCCGTGCTGAGTGAGGAGCCCAACAGTGGGGCTGGATCCCAGTATCCTGAGATCATGACCTGAGCTGAAGTCAGAGGCTGAGCCACAGGTGTTCCAGCTTTTTTTTTCCTTCTTTTCTTTTCTTTTCTTTTCTTTTCTTTCTTTCTTTCTTTCTTTTTTTTTTTGGTATCTTTACTCCATCTATCCTTCCAGTATCTTTCAACTTTTCTTTTTTTCCTATACACTCTGAAACATTCTATGAGTTCATTTAAATATATTATTATTATTATTATTTTTTAAGATTTTATTTATTTATTTGAGAGAGAGAGAGAGAAACAGCATGAGAGGGGATAGGGTCGGAGGGAGAAGCAGGCTCCCCGCCGAGCAGGGAGCCCGATGTGGGACTCGATCCCAGGACTCCGGGATCATGACCTGAGCCGAAGGCAGTCGCTTAACCAACTGAGCCACCCAGGCGCCCCGCATTTAAATATATTATTGAGTGCCAACTACATAACAGGCACTGTGCTGGGCTCTGACCATGCACCCTCATTTCTCTTCCACTGCTTTTATTCGGTTGCACATGCCTAGCAAATCCTTGATCTAAGTTCTGATCTTATACTGGTTAAATGAGAGATGCAAACTTCATCTCATTTGCTCCTTTTCTTAGCTCTTTTTTCTCTGTCTTCTTCAAGGTGTCTTTGTTGAGGCTGTTCCTTCTACCTGTGTCTTGAATCCCAACTGCTACACTTCCCTGGACTTTGTTCTGTTCTGCCCTTCTCTGTACCCCCAACTCTTCCCTCTCTTTTGCCCATTTCTTTCAGTCTAGGTGAGGCTTCCACTTCCATTCTGAAAATCCTTTTTTTAATCTTTATGTTCTTGAGCAACCACCCCACCCCATCTCTTTCTTTACCCGTTCTCATCTAAGTTCTCAAAGGAATGGTCTTCACTCATTTTCATTTCCTCCTACTCCATTCTCTTTCCCACCCACTGGATTTTGGCTTGTGCTTGTACATCTCTACCAAAACTCCTTGCTAAGGTTCCTCTTTGTCAAATCCTACTTCTATGTCATCAGTCCTTGCTTTATTGGACTTCTCTGCTCCATTTCGCACTGTCAGTCACTCTTCCTTCTGAAAGCTTTCTACTTCCTTAAAACTTTTTACTTCTCCATTTCCTGCATTCTCCCAGAACTTACTGTTAATTCTCAGGTTTCTTTCTGGGATATGCTTCCTCTATGAACTTTTTATAAGGTTGGAGTCATCATCTGTGTTTCTCTGCTCTTCTTATTCTACATGCTCTTAAAGAGGAGTATTGAGTATTGAATGGCACCCTTAAATTATAGACAAGTTATAAAAACTGATATCTAGGGTTACATGGTAACAGTCACATAAAAATTTGAATTGTTATCTTTCTATACATGTTCTATGTTGCTCATCAGTTCATTTGAGTTTCAGATGCTCCAGCTGCTTTTTACTTTGTCTCTATTTCCTAAAGGTACTTAGTGTGTCTAGAATTGGAATGAGCATTGGTCTCTAATAGTTCTGCATTAATTGTGAATCCCTGAAAAAAAAAGTGTAAGTCTATTAAAAACCAGTTAATTTCATCTTGTCATTTTTCTAGATAATATATTCTGGTGTAGGCAGTCCATTTCTTGAGCAAGTTTGCAATAAACAGTTTCCCCTCAAGGTTGATATCATAGGCAAACACCTTTTGCTGTAACAGCCGGCAAGAGGTAATGAAAGATTAGCTTACATTATGATTCATTATTTCAAAATGTCAGAATAAAGTGGATCTGCTGCATCGCCCAAGCCTCTTATTCTTTAGAAGAGCATACTTGTTTTGCTTTTCTAATGTTAATAGATTCACTGTTTTTATTTTCTCCTGCTTTCCCCCCCCCCCCACCAGGCCAAACTCAGACAATCGGCGCCAGGGTGGCAGAGAGAGATTGGCCAGTACCAGTGACAAGGGGAGCATGGCTGTGGAGTCTGCCAAGGAGACCCGCTACTGTGCAGTGTGCAATGACTTTGCCTCAGGCTACCATTATGGCGTCTGGTCCTGTGAGGGCTGTAAGGCCTTCTTCAAGAGAAGTATTCAAGGTAATAGCGTGTCGAAAACAACATATTCCATTTTTAATCCTGAGGGTAAGCAACTGAAAAAGGAAGGCATATGAGCAGTCCTTTGGAGAAGAAAACTCTAATACCTGGTAGGTCCACTAGTATGTCGGGTAGAAACATGGAGAAAAGCAAAGTTCTCAGGAGAGAGAGTTGACGAAGAGACCAGGGCGGTTGTAGCTGAATAATTCTGCTTCCTGCATTGGCACGATCCAAGCAGTCTTGAGCAACTCTACAGGAAGGGGACTTTAATAGCTGGGTCTGGAGAGGTCTGTGCCCTGATTAGGGGATGGCAGGTGGGTATTCATTTGTTGCAGGCAGCTAGGCTTATATGATACCATGTAAGATGAGTTGTCTCTACATTATTACTTTTCCACCTTGGCTGTGTGCAGATATGCATTCTGTTCTGATCTTTGCTCCAGACCAGCAGTTCTTTGCACCTATTCTAACTTGACAGGTTCTTCCCTTGCTCTTCCTCCATCTCTTTGTTGTCTCAGTGGATGATATCACTTTCGCTAAAATGAGAAGACTCAATAGCTGGTGACCTGTAATAGGGACATATTATCAGTAGAAGTGGTTAGTAAGTATTTACTTGTAACAGTTCATTCACCTGTGTGCCTGGATCCTCTTTTGTATGTGGCTTACCAAGAGCAGCTTCTCCCTTCTACTGTCAGCTCCAGTTTATTTGTACTCCAGGAATGTCTGTATTGTTGCATTTTATAGGATGCCCTGGGGGAAACATAAATCATTTCTACTACCTAAAGTATCTATGGTAAAAATCCTTTGTCTGACAGGAGTAGCAGTCTGACAGGAGTTTAGGTTAGCTGAATTAACTTTGTCTTGGTCCATTTTATTTATTTATTTATTTGTCTTCGTCCATCTTAAAAGCAGCTTTTGACAGTTATTACTTTCAACATCTTTTAGAAACCTACTGTAAGATTTGTACTTTTTTGTTGGATTTTTTAATAAAATTAATGATATTCTCTGATAGTAAATTTTTGTTAATATACATACATGTACACACACAAAGAAATAGAGATATAAATAAATAAATATACACATGGATATGTATATATACACACATATGTGTTAAAGCAACATAGATTATTTAATTTTACCACTTAATACTATCTTAATTTAGAAAAACGATATTTCTATTTGGTTTAGGTTAGCATAAGCCCCCAGAGGTCTTTCAACAACCGTCTTCATTTGTGATATTACTTTTTATTTGCTTTTATGTATTCTAAAATAGCATTATTTTCACCAAACATTTAATCTGGTATTGACAAATCATCTGACAGAGGTAGATTTAGTGAACACATTCAACTACAAACTTGGATAAGTCATTTATCTGAGACAGTTCTCTCATCTATAAAAATGATTGAGAGCAACTTTCAGCAGCATTTTTTTTTTTTTTTTTTTTGTAAAAGGCCAGATAGTAACTGTTTTAGGCTTTGTAGTCCTTGTTGCAACTACTCAGCCCTGACATTGTGGCCTATAAGGAACCATAGACAATATATAAGTAAGTGGGTGTATGCCAATAAAACTATATACAAAAGCAGACCAGAACTGACGTGGGAGCCATAATTTGCTGATCTTTGATTTAATGTATGGGAAGGGAATAGATTGTTTCTAAATCTAAAGTTTTGACTATTCATGTTTATTAAAAACTTACTCTGTACCTGTGCAAGATGTTCTGAGAGAAATCAAAATATGTGTAAGATATAATCTGTAATCCCACAAAATTTGGAATTTATTTGGGAAATTTATTGGGGAGGCAAAGGTACTTGTTCTTATGATATAATTAGAGAGTAAGTCAGGATAGGGATAAAGTGCTATTATATGATAAAGATAAGGAAAATAATGGATGAATATAAGAAAACAAATATTTTCAGTTGTAAAAGTCAAATTACTAATATTAAAGATAGAAAGGACTTTTCTTCAAGGAATAACACCAATATTCTCACAAGTTATTTTCATCCTGTTTGTTCAGCATTGAAGAGTGTACTATATAACTTCACATCAGACTGAGTATTTTCTCTGAGCATTAAGGCATTAGAGCAAAAAAACACAGTAAAGAAAAATAATGCACTTAAAAAAATAGTGAAGGAAATGTGAGCTAATAAAAATAAATATTTTATTGGTATGGCATTATCTCAAGTTCAGATATTTAGAAAATTTCTGCGTACTCTTTGATGGTTAAAAGATATATCTTATCTCCATCTTATATGTATAGACTAAATAGTAGGATTTCATTGTACTATAAATTATATTATATAAAATTTTACTGTATATATAAATGGCATAAACTGCAATTTCTGCCTGGCTTCAGAAACTTCTTATGGTATGAAGTCACTGAAATAAGCTTTAATTTTTTTTTTTTTAAAGATTTTATTTATTTATTTGAGAGAGAGAATGAGACAGAGAGAGAGAGCATGAGATGGAGGATCAGAGGGAGAAGCAGACTCCCTGCCGAGCAGGGAGCCCGATGCGGGACTCGATCCCGGGACTCCAGGATCATGACCTGAGCCGAAGGCAGTCGCTTAACCAACTGAGCCACCCAGGCGCCCTTAAATAAGCTTTATTAAATGAGGTGAATATTGAGTCCACAGTTTTAGAAGAAGCATAGAAATGAAGCAGAGATATTAACTTTTAGAGATAGGGAGGGACCTTAAAAATGATTCGGTTTATGGGTTCATTCATTTATTCATTGATTACCTCTACTAGGCAAAGCACTGTGGAAGGCCCTGGAGATACAATTATAAGAAAGACATGGTCCTTATTCTCATAGGCCTTAAAAGGTAGTGGGAGAGTTGCACAAATAAACTGGCCACTAAATAACAGTGTGACATGTGCCAAGATGAGGGTGAGTGAAGGGTTTTATATAGGAGTCCAGACTTCACTCAGTCCTGGTGAGGGTTGAGTCAGGCTCTGAGGAGTTTTCCTGATTCAAAATTAAGTCTGGAGGATGAGTCAAATGAGCAGAATGAAGGAGAAAGGGATGGATGTTCACAGGAATGAGCATATGAGCAAAGACCAGGAGATGAAAGGGAGTTTGGGGAATTCTGTGAATAGAAATTAACAAAATTAATTGACCATTAGATCAAACAAAGACATTCTTGGCCATGTATTTATTCTTGATTATGTAAAAATAAAGTAGTTTATTTCCTTCTTACTTCAATGGTGTTTCTATGTATTTGGCTTGTTTGTGCATATAAAAAGGAAATACCAGAGCAAGTTTAGTGGTTTCTTGTCCCATTTTCTCATCATAGTCTTGATAACATGCAACTAAAAAGTTTTACTGAACTTCTTTGGCTCTTTATAAGTCACACTGACCCTCAAACCTATTTAAGGACAGTGAAGGGTCTGACATGCAGGTAGAAACTTCTGAAGATGCTGTAGCTGTCCCTGTTTTTCTTGTTATGTAAGAAGAGAGATAGAAATGAGTATCCATCAGATTACTCTAGTGCTCTAAGTGTTTTAGTTGAAGAGGTAAAGTGTTTGATTTGAAAGCGTACAAATTTTCATCCACTACTTAGTGTATAAACTTGATTACTCAAGAAATTGAGTAATGGCCTTCAGTTGAACATACTCCTTTTTTTTTTTTTTTAAAGCAAAGTCAAGGATGCTATTTAAGGGAGGGGTAAAATGGGATAGTACATGAACTTGTTAATCATTGCAGATGGAGAAGCAGTGTTTCTTAAGATGTGTTGTAGGCAAAGACCTTGGATGAGTTATATAAGTAGATTTGATTACAGGTACCATCTTTGAGTACCGCCTTGGACTCAAGGAAAAAAGACTCCACTGAGCTCCCTGCTTCTCTGACATTATTATTTCAAATGTTCATGAGGTACAGTGGAGTCCCAAGCCTATCTGTATACCACTAACTATGTTGCCACTTCATATTATCTCTCTCAGATGTACAAAGAATATAATTAGATCAAACAGATATGGCCCAGGCAGGTGTTGACTTAAAGGTTAGCTAAGACCAGAAGGACATCAGAGTGGTATCATGGTGGAGTCTGGTTATGGTTCAAGGCGGTGAGGCATTAGGTCCCACCAGGAAACTGACAAGCTTTGTCCATTAGGCCTTGGAAAGCGTCAGGGGTGGGTGGTGGGGGTTTGACATTCCAGCACCCTGGATAGCTCCCCCCAACAGTGGCTGAGTGTAAGCAGAGCCTGACTTTCTGAACTTCAGCCCATTTAGTTGGCTCCATCCATTTTGTAGAGCTGTATTAAGAGAGAACTTAGGCCTTTTGTGCTTGGTCTTCCAAGATGGATTAGGTTTTACATTTAGTTTCATATTTCTAGTCACCTTCTGGCTTGACATATGTACCCGTGCCTGGAAAAGGCCAGCAGATGGGGGAGAAGTGGTGGTTGCTCTCTCATTATCTAGCTATTTTATCTCTGGAATCTGTTCAGAGATATAGCTCAAAGTTGAAGTCTTGAAATATATGCACACAAAAATATGAAATTTTGATCTCCATATTCCAAACTTGCCCCTCTACCCTCTAGTCTCCATGCAACAGCGGGAGAAATCTTTTAAATGTATTCATCATGTCATATGGTCTTTCCCTTAAAACTCACACTGCACTTCAAGTCCAGATTCCCTCCTATGGCTTATATTACTCTACAGTCTCTTAGTCCTGCTTATTTCTCCCCCTGTTCATTATAATCCAGCCATATTGGCCTTCTTTCTCTTCCTCCAATACACCAACCATGTTCCTTCCTCAGGACCTCAGCACATTTTTCCCTTTGTTTGCAACACTTGCATCTTTACTTGGCTGGCTCCTTGTCATTCAGATCTCTGCCCAAGATCACTTTCTCAGAGAAAAAGACCATGTCATGTCAGTATCTTCAGAGAATCTTCCATGATTACCCTAGCCAAAGTAATCCTACAGATGTTTGCCCCTAGTTTTTTTCTTTTTTTTTTTTTTCTACTCCATTACCCTTATTTTTCTTTAAGGCCCTTAAACCCTTAATGA